AATGAAAAAAAAAAAAAAAAAGAAATTGATGTGCGGAGCAAATCAGTTTTTGCTCCGCATAATGCGGAGTTCATGAGCTCCGCATTATGTGGAGACAATGCTTCGGTTATGCGGAGCAAAAACTGATTTGCTCTAATTTTTTTTATTTTTTTTAGTTTCTATCTTTTCATTAGGCTGAGATTGCTCCGCATTTTGTTGAGTGAAATTTTTTTTTGTATTATTTAGCTTTTTTTTACGTGCTACTAATTTATTTTAATGTAATATAAAATTAGAAATGTGAAATTGAATATTTATATTACAATTGATATACATGCGAAAGAAGATATTTTTCTCTAACACGGTTGCAAAAATCAATTAGTCAACAAAAATGGCTGTTGTAGCAAAAAATAGTCCATAAACAGTAGATGATGGGGATAAAATGGGAAAAGCATTAATTGAGAGGGATAAAACTGGAAGACAAAATGCTTCACAAATAAACAGTAACCTGTGGATTGGCTCCTTTAATATAGTAGGGATATGACGGAGTACAAGTGGAGAGGGCATCAAAAGGTAGAACTGTACAGCCAAGTTTCCTTACATCCCACGTTTATTTCTCCTCTAAAAACCACTATTTGTGCAGTTTGTTCCTTTTTCCTCTGCGAAACCTCTTAATAATAAACTTTGTATAAATTCTTTCAACTTCTCCATCTTTAGTTCTCAGTTTTTTCTCGCCTTTCTCGTCATACCCTTTCACTACTAGAAAACGTGCCTAAGACCAATATAGAGGGTTTAGTTTAGAGGGACTCAATTGAAATGGAAAAAGTATCTGGTTTTAGTAGAGTAGACGAGGAGATTGAATTACCTCCAGGATTTCGATTCCATCCAACAGATGAAGAGCTTATAACTCATTATTTATCTCCTAAGGTAATTAACAGCAGTTTCAGTGCAAGAGCTATTGGAGAAGTGGACTTAAACAAGGTTGAACCTTGGGATTTGCCAAGTAAGTTCAAAATGTCCCCCTTGTTTTTTATACGTGCAAGTCAAATTCATTTTATTTTGTGGTTTTGAAGGGAGGGCAACAACAGGTGAAAAAGAGTGGTATTTCTTCTGTACAAGGAACAGGAAGTACCCTACAGGTTTAAAGACAAATAGAGCTACTGAGGCTGGATATTGGAAGGCAACAGGGAAGGATAGAGAGATTTTCAGCTTGAAAATTCTTGTGGGAATGAAAAAAACTTTGGTTTTTCACAGAGGAAGGGCTCCTAAAGGAGAAAAAACTGGTTGGGTCATGCATGAATTCAGATTAGAGGGCAAATATTCTACGCATAATCTCCCCAAAAATGCAAAGGTAAACAATTTCCCCTGCTTTCATCTATTTTCCCTTCAGATTTTGTTTCCCTCTGTTACGGTATATATGCAGTATTGAACACCACTCTACACTACATTAAACAAGATTTTAACTTGTTTTTAATATTATTCAATAGCACTATACAATTCATCTTCGCAAACAAATCATTAAGTTATTTTGGATACGTAAGATTGACAGCGCAAAACTAAATAAGATTTTTAACATCTTTTTGTTTCTTATTATGGTCCATTACGGTGTAATCCATCTTACTAAATGAACTATTAGGTTATGTTTGGAATACAGTATTAGAGAAATGAATATTACAAGTTCATGTATTTTAGTATTGTAGTACCTGGTACTACACAATTCATCTTAACAAACAAGCCTTAGTACAAGTTCAATGTGCAATATTAGGCCGCTGTTTGGTTCGGATAAAAATAATTTTGTTAAACTTGATCGAATGTGTAGTTGAAAAATTGATAAAAATTATGATCCACCCTCGTTTTGCAGAATGAATGGGTTATTTCCAGGATTTTCAAGAAGAGAAATCATGATGCGAATCCACAGCCGTCAGATTTGCCTCCATTAATGGATTTATCATCATCTAAAAAGACTGAAATACCCCTAGCTACGTTGAATTTCCCTAAAGTTTCGACTCCAAATTCAGTGCCCTTTATCCAAAATATACAAGATCACTCCAACTATGAAGTAGGGTTGGGATCTTACGAGGATCAAGAATTTCCAATTATTTCGGCTGAAAATATGGACTTTGAATGTCTCTGGAATTGTTAATTATCAATTAAGTATATATATATATATATANTAATTCATTGGTGGATTGGAACTCACAAAATCTTTATCCACCAATGAATTAATGTGCCAACTCACTGGTGCTTAGGATAAGATGAGCACCGGTGCTCATTAGATCATTTCTGTATATATATATATATAACTACTACAAGTTTTATGTGTGTAAAAGTATATTATTGAATTAGTTTGATTCTGGATGGAGGTATATTTATATGATCAAACGATGCAATTAGAGGGAAACATTTTTTCCACTAAAACCATCGGTAACTAAATAATTGACAAAAATTGACTAATTTTGGATTTTAAAGATGACAACTAAAAGTATAATGAATTAAATTTACTATCAAATCAAGTGGGATGAATATGCTAAATGTAAATAGATCATAACTAAATAATTGACAAAATAATTCATAATAATATTGTTCCAATTATTAAATAAATCAAATATATATATTGAAAAACAAAAAGGAAATGAATCTATCAAATATGGTTAAATAAATTATATATATATTGAAAAACAAAAGTAAGGTGTCAAATTTACATTCATCATAACTAAATAGTTGAAAAAAAATAATGAATGATAATATTGTTCAAATAATTAATAAATTAAATATATATAGAAAAACAAAAGGTAGGGTATTATTGGAATACAAATTGAAAAATGGAAAGTAATATATTATTGAAATAATTGAATTACAGTGATGATAGAATTGTCCAAAAAAAAAAAAAAAGATATATAGATTATAGATTAAATATGCACAAGAAGGTCATGTCAACCCAAAAAAAAAAAAAAGTGATCTAAAAATGAATTTGTGGTAAAAAGTGACAACGATTCACGAATTGATCAATCATTTTTGTAGAAATATTAGTGAAACACGTGAAATTGCTCAAGATGATATTGTCAGTTTTGGGCCGGGCCCAACATTTTTGTCCGGTAAACAAAACGCGTGACTATGGCCCCCTTCCAATAAAACTTATCAAGTTATGGACTAAGTCCTGTTTGATGGCCATTATTTAGCGAGAATAATGTTTTGAATACTGACTTTTAAAAGAATGTGTAGTTAAAAAGATGAGAAAATTTTAAATTTACGTACAAAATATTTTATTGTGTGAATGTATAGGGATCTTGATCAAATCAATTAGTTCAATTCTACTTAATATTTAACTAATTCTGAGTTTATAATCCAGAGTGACTTGATTCTTGATTAAGTTAAATCCTAGTATTATGTTTTTAAAATCTCAATTAAAATAATTAAACAAAAAAGTTTACACTTTACAATATTTTTTAAAGCATAAAGATCGGTTGTGGTCTAGTTCAGTGTCATTGCTTATTTAGAACGATTAGATATCATGAATTGAATTTTCATTAATATTCGTCTATTTGTTCTTATTCAAACTGAATTAAGTCGAACCATGCCCTTTCAACCAAAATGCACAAACAAGAACAATTATATAAACATTTTTGATATAGGCTTTGATTGATGTCTCCTTGTGCAATTTGTTTTCAACTTCTTATTAACAAGAAAAAACCAATAAACATTTCAACGTGAATGAAAATAAATTAATATAATAAAACTAATCAAGAATTGATTGAGATGGTGTAGGATTCCATTGGAAGAGGAATGGTATTGTCAAATTATCGTTTGTTAATTTAATTATTTAACATTTTTTCGGCAAAGTCTATTTAAAAATTATTTTAATCAAATATTCTTTCAATAAAATAAATTTGTACGTGAATTCGTAATTTTTTACATATTTTATTTCTATAGATGAAGCGTTTTGCCATGCTTGACGGTGAAGAGGTGGTGCTGTGGCATAAGGCACAATGTGGTGCACGTGTAGAAAATATTTGACAAAATTGTTATTATTCGAATTTTATCTCATCATCTTGAGTCCAAGGAGACTTATTCATATTTGTTAGGAATCCTGATAAGAATTATGTATGTTTTGATATCACTCATTAGAAATAGAAGGCGAGATTTTATGACCTAATATGAAGTAACAATCTCAACACTAGAAGAACAAAATAATATGGCAGAGGAATGAAGATTTTTTTAATAATGGAGAGAAAATACAAAGAATATTGTGTATCTAATACAATTCTACCCCTCTCAAAGTCATATGAAAGTTAAGAATTTCGTGAAAAATATATAGGACTCAATATGATACATTATAGTTGGAAAAAGGATAAAAAAAGTCAAAAATAAGAAAACAATATTTTTTCGGATATATGCGTTGCTCAAGCAACAGCCTTGAGGGAAGCGAGTGTGGCAACACCGCACGAGTTCCAGGCAAGTGACAGCTCAAGCGCCTCTAGTGGAGCTCAGGCACAGAGTTTCGAGTTAAACTTCAAATTTTTTTTCTCTCTTTAACAACTTCAACTACAATACCACTTTCCAACAATATTTTGATCACAATATTCAACAAATCCCCATATTGATACAAATTTCACTGTAATGAATAAAATTTCAAAATTTCTCCACTTAGAGATAAATTCAACTTGAATTAATAAAACTCTCCAACCAAAAATTTCTTCTTCTCTTCTACAACGTCCAATCACTGCCACAACGATAATCTTATATTGTGATCCAAAAGTATACTTTAAGGTTGCCATCCCAAAAAGAAATCAATACTCGTGAAGAACAACGAATTTGGCTCTGATACCACTAGTTAGAAATCCTAAAAAGAATTATGTATATTGTTGGATTTTTTGATACTCAATAAATTCGGGCGATGATGTTAAACCGGTTTTATAGTTTGGATTAGACTTCATAGGCCTGGTCGATGATAGAAGTGAAATGTCGACACCACAACGAACAAACTATTCCGACAACTTAAGTGGGACATTTGAAGTAGCTTAATCTCATTATTGTTGCTCATGACCCGTCCCATTACTTTGGACGGCTTTAGGGTTGAAAGCGCATTTTTGGTATCCATTGGGCCTCTATTTTCTTGACCTAAAGTCCACTATCTTGGTATATTTAAGTGACCCGTTTTATTATGTTTCTAGAGTGTGGAAGAAGTGTGAGGGCCGTTTCATTGTGGAGAGAAACCGACTCCATCCTCTTGTGCTTTGTGCTTCTTGGTGGCTCTTTCTCCTTCCCTTTCTCTTTGCCTTGGTAGCTTAAAATAGGGTCTTCTTCTTCTTCTTCTTCTTCTTCTTCTCACCGAGTCCTTTGTGGGTTGATTCTTGTTGAAGCAACTGGTTGTGGGCGGTGTTGGTTTGGTGGTTGTGGTTTGGAGCTTGGTTGTTCTTTGTGCTGCCGATTGGTGGTGAAACCGAGCCCGAAATAGTGGATTGGAGCCCCAAAATCCTACAAATGGTATCAGAGATTTAGGTGGTAATTATTTTTAGCGAAGGCAGCTCTAGAAATCGAGTAGAAAAGTAGAAAAATTCTATCCAGATTTTTTCAACTATAAATTGAACCTTCAATCGTGTTTTCCGGCCAAACTAGTGGGAATTTGAAAAAACCAAGACCACCAACGTGTTCAGTAGGCTGAGGAGTAGCTACGAGGCCGGTGTGTGACGACCGACGCTAGCGCGTGAGGCCCACGTGCAGCGCCGATGACTGTGCATGCGGGCGCGTGGGCCATCTTCCGGTGAGGGTCTTTAGGCAGCTTTTCCAGGACATTGTTACAGACCCTGCGGTGTTGTCGGATTTCAGTTTCAGGCAATATGGTAAAAGTTGGACGTTCGGGTGCTGAATGCCGTTCATGTTGACTGAAGCTTTAGGAAGGATTGCGGTAGTCCCAAAGTGGAGAATTTGTAGCTCTTGATATTTACAGACCTTCAGATGTGGTCCACTCGGTATCGTATTCTTTACCTTTTATTATTACAATTAAAATTATTGTGTAGGATAATTTATTTTTCGCATTAGAAGTTATCGTGTGGGGTGACGTTAGGTTTGTGATTACCATGAAGGGGTAATCATTGCCTGTTGCTAGACCTAGGAATTACCTGTTGATTATTTGCCTTGAATTCTATGTAAATTAGTTGCCAATTAAATTTTTTCATTAATTAGAATTGCACGTGACTTTAAAAAAGTTTACTTGACTATTCTGTATGATTTGTACCGGTACATTACTTGTGGTTATTGTTAGTTGCATTTTGTGTTCTGTGCATTTTTTGGGTATAATGACGATACATTATGAGTTGTACATGTTTTAATGAAAATTGTGGTTTTTTTTTATTTGGCAAAGCGAAAATGTTTTTCTTAAAATATTTTGATGGCAAATGTGGTGTATGATAATTTGGACATGGTTGAAATAGATTGTCATATGAATGATAATAAAAGGGAAGATTAGGAGAGTTGTGAGGCGAATTCTATCCTTGGGTTGAGAGATAACCCTAGTGAGGTTTATTGAGTGTTGAACTTGTTAATGCATTTGCATCCGTGTATAATCCTTTCTGCATGTGTGTGATTGCTCAATTCGTTTGCATGATTACATGTACATTTTTCAATGTGTTTGATATGTGTATTGGCATAAATCAGAGTGATCTTATTACTTAGTGTAATTGTTTGCATGCATTGTGGATTTGTAAGAGTATTGGTGTTGGAGTAACCTTGTGGTACGTGGGTCAATTTAAATTGAGCCCTAACCTTTGTGGTAGCCAACAGGTGTTGATTTGCCGTAGTGGGTTTGGGATGCATTAGCAGTGTGTGGTATATCTTTTGGTAAGATGGAGTATAGATGCCGAAGGGTACATTGGTGGATTGTACCAGGGATGTGAAGTGTGACATTTGGATCACGAGTGGAGAGGTGATCAAATGTTAGAATTCTTTATCTGGAAGAGATCCTGATCAGGTGGAGTGTGAGAGAGGCAGTTCTATCACTTCCATTAGGTGGAGACCCATTATCCACGTAGGTTGGGAAAAGTGATGTGGTAATAGAGGATTATCCCGAGAAATTAGGATCTATAGAGACTTACTAGTTAGACATATTTGTTTGAGTGATTAGTCTAGTGAACATGGTGGGTGATG